GGTACAGTACAGGGCTAATTTCTGGATTTGACCAACCCTTGTGATCAGTGTACCATCTGCTCAAAATCCTGATTATCAGTGTGACCCCTTAAGAAAATTCTGTTCCATCAGGGTAAAGGTGGTTTCCAAAAAATCTACCCTGTCGCATCAGTGTAGGTTAAAAAAAAATCATGATGAATTATTAATAACGTTGCACTTAATACAGATTTCAGTCCTCATCATCCGACATGCCACAAGGGTTTTCATCGTGGTCAGTGTCCTCGTCTGGCTCTGGTGCTTTCTGTTTCCCCTTCCGATCCACAGGGGTCGCGTGCGCAACTGATTTCGCCGGGCGTCGGGTTTTCTGCTTGCGCCAGATGTCCACCACGTCTGGCCAGACGTATGGGTATTTGAGCATGTGCAGCGTCATGAGGTCTCCAAGGCGTGCGTCGCAAAGCGACGTGCGCATCCAGCTCTTGATGATGTTATGGCGACTTAAGCCCCTCTCACACTCCACTGTGCTCAGAGGAAGCACAGCGAGGGCCTGCCAGAGTGTCATCAGGTTCGGATAGCTGCGCCGCCAATCCCGGCTCTTCAACATGCTTTGAAGGCCCTGGTGGAAATCTTCCCCCGCGTGATGGCGCGACATGATGTGGCAGAAACTCCTCAGCTCCTTCTTCGCAGCTTTGAAATCGAATCCTGACGGGGAGGTGGTTTGGGGCGGTGGAAGTAGTTGGGGGAGATTGTTAGTTAATGCGATGTTGTACAGTGCATTCTATGAACAAGTCGAGTCAATTGCACGTGTCAATTCTAACCTCACCTGGAAGCGACCCGCCAAACAGCTCATCATTTGCCGCAAGCCACTCGAGTGTCTTCAGTTCGCGCTGGTCGTCTCTGCATGGCCACAATTCAACTTGATACAGCTTCGCGCCGCCCAACTGCTGCAAGTCCCACATGCGGAATTTCATTCTCGCGACGATTTCCTTCGCGAAACCCGTGCACAGCTTCTCGCAGTCTGCTCGCGTGCCCCCAAACTTGTGTTTCTTGATAGGTGTCTCGCTCAGCTCGAATTTGTGTGATGTCTGCCGCCCCTCCACGTCAATCCCTTCAACCACCATCGTCCTGTCGTCGCCTCCGCGCTCCTTGATGAACTTGGACAACAATTTGCTGACCCCGCCGCCAAATGTCTCGCCGTACTGGATGTACCGGTGCGTGATGATGGTGATCGTGTGGTCGACTTCCTTGGCCACTTGTGTGATGTCAACCTGCCATACACCCAGCACGTCACAGAGGTCAGACACAAAATGTTTTGGCGATACCAAACTTAAACATGTACGCAATCACACTTGCCTTGCGGTGCTGGAAGAAGCGGTTGAGGGAGTTAAGCACGGCAAGAATATCTGCGAGAAAATACAGGCAGAAATGGAATTTGAAGGTTTGCACTGTTGACGCAATCTTATGCTTGTACTCCACAATCATGACGATTGCCGCCCCGAACACTCTGCATAGCCGCGCTATAGCGTCTCCCCGCGATAACCATCTGACGTTGAACAGTCCTTGGTGTTCGAGGTTTGTCTTGTGTATCTCTTGTTGCAGCTCCTTGAACCTCTCGTACCAAATGTTGGAACGGCAGATGATTTCCCCCACAGCACGCACTGCAGCATCAATCATGTAAGGTCGGGGAAAGCTTTCGCAGCATCCTTGACCACCAACGCTTCACTGCAGCACACGTAGAAGGAAGATTAGTATCGCAGTAAGAGGTGAATCATCGCGTTTGGAAAAAATCACCGTCATTAAAGCAGAGCTTACCGATGCGCTACACAGTGACATCCGACGAGATGCGGCACGCGCTCGTGCAAGCGGGTAACCAAGCCGTTCTTCTCCCCCGTCATCACAGAAGCTCCGTCGGTACCGATGCCGGACACCCGCTTGATGTCCACGCCAATCGACTCCAGGTGGTTTGTGAGCACTGCGAAAAGCGAGGACGCATCGCATTTGTGTACCGTCAGCAGATTCCGTGACGGCCACGCCGTGCTTCAGGAACGTGGCAAACACAATCAAGTGTTTGCCACGAGCGCGATCCGTGCTCTCGTCGCAGGTCAGACCGACGAAAGGTGAAGCGAGCAGATGCTGCAGCTGCTGCGATCTCTGGAACTTTGCCATCGCCGTCGCCATCTCGTTGAATCCGTACCTGCGACAAGGCGAGGGGAAGGTTTTTTTTTTTTTTTTTTTTTTGCTTATATGAATTATACGCATAAACAGTCGTAACTGTATACGAGAGACAGGAAGCCCCGCCTCAAAGAATTCGATCCTCAGACATGGATCCGGGGCCTGCGAGGTTTGCCCCAAATTGCTGCGAAACTGTTGGACCACTTCCAACCCTTGCCATCCGCTACTCTGATGCGATTCAGAAGGTCACGTTCTTGCTCCGACATTTTTTGCCATCTGGCCTGCTGAACTTCCCCACGCTGCTGCATCCTTGCTGCCGAGGCCCGCACGTAAACGTTAACATGCATGCGAAGGGCTGACTCAATCCTCCGTAGAACCCTCCGCGTGCGGAACTTGCAGCCCCTGAAGGCCCCTTCACATCTTTCCGCCCAAAGCTGGTGAAGGGCGATCGCAACCAGCGAGGCTTCAGGAAATGCTGACTGGGACCCCGCCTTACCAAACAGCCACTCGCCAAGTGTGTCATTCTTCCTGCCCGGGTTTATCATCCTTAAGGCCCTCTTAACCGCCGAAACCACCCTCTGAATTTTAGGGCACTCCAGAAGACAGTGCTCCAATGTCTCAAACCCCCCGCAGTGCGGGCAGACTGGCTTGCTGCTGAGAAATTCCAGTCTCTCCCCCACTTGTAGATTGAGGCAGTGTATACGCAGTCGAACATCCCTCGGGCGACTTGGGGTGACCAGTGATTCACGAATCTGAACTGCCCGTTTCCAATCAATGCTGCCTCCCCACCGACTCGCCCATTTCTCCCGCTTGTTTTTTCCGCCATTGCCATGCCTCCAGTGCTTCCGGAGAGACCTCAGCGGGGCCGCTTCCCCTTCCGCCAACAACTTCGCCCGGAGCTGTAAAGGCCCGCCTCTTCCCACCTCGAACTCGTCCGCAAAGCTCATGTTCGGGAGTTCCACCGAGATGAGCCGCTTCCTCCATGCTTCTGGCGCAGCCGCAAAAGCCTTGAGCGCAAGATTCGCCGAGTCCTTCCGCCGCAGCTCTCTCTCTAGGGTTTCAAGGCTTTTCAGCACCCCTTTCCCTTCTGCATCTCTCCCGACAAGATCTCCCAGCCTGACGCCCAGAAGCCCTTTTGCCGCTTTCTGTCCTCCCACCGGCGTGGTTCCTTTCAGGAGAATATGTCTGTTAAACGATAAGATAAGGAATTGTAACTTTATACCATACAGCCAATGCGTTCAACCCATACATCCAAACACTTACTGCGTGATGTACACGCCGTATGACTGGAGCGGTATGTCGTCCACGCCCTCCTCTGCGAGGAAGCCTATTAGCTTCGGGAACATCGCGATCGGCGCGTCATGGTCGCAGATAAACTCCACGCCGCGCATGAGACGTGTAAGCCGCGCTCCCTCCTTGTCGGTGTTGGCGAAATCGTCCAGCCGCTTCTGCTTCTCGCACTCCGCAATGAGCGTCCGCTGCCGTTTCATGGCTTCGTCGTGGCGGCCGCTCAGCTCGTGACTGCGCATCGATCCGAGCTGCAGATCGCGTCCCCCCGTCCCGTTCCGTCCGAACTTCGCGTCGTCTTTCCCATGCTCCACGCAAATGCTGCATCGCAGAATGGGCAGGCCCTCCTCGTTCTTGTCAAGCAGCAGCCACTCAAACTTCGGCAGTCACTGCGTGATGTACAGCTGCTGCGCCTTTAGAAATTTCTCTTCATTCTGTTCAGCGTCGGTGAGTTCACGGGACGCAAGCTTCGGAGCTTGGACGCGAGCGGGAGGCGGAGTCGGTTTCGCAGGGGGCGTGCCGAACGGTAGAACGCCTTGCGCGAAGCGCGGCCGCTTCTTCGAGGCTGCAGACGATGACTCACCCACCTCTGTGACGCTGACAGTGGCGGGAGCACTGTCTGGCGCGACCGAATTAGAGGCAGACGGCGTTGCAACGGGCTCTTTCTCGTTGCTGCAAGCAGACGGGCCTGCAGTGCATACTGGCGGATGGATCGCATGCAGCGCTCGCAGAAAATCAAGCCCTGTCCGCGCGGGCGGACCAGAAGGTGGCTCGTCAGCAGCCTCACCATCGTCAGTCTCTGCTGGAGCCATGGCTCCTCTTGTTGCACGGAAGGTAGGCCTACGTAGCCTAAATGTGCGTGTGTTCTCTGCTCTTGCACTGTGAAACCCCAAACGTGTTCATGCCCCCAACCCTTTCTCGTCTCTGTTTCCTACCGTGCACGCAAACGAACTGCAGAGCCAGCCACAGTCGTGCAAGGACCAGGGTGCCCAGTGGGCTTGTGGGCACCGACTTTCTGCCGCAGTGAGCCATGTTTACAGCTAACCCGGCCATGTTGGCATGCCAGACAAACATTCCGAGTTGGGTCGGTGGCGCTGCCTACAAAGAAACTGTAATACTGGCCAATGGTGGCCCACTGTGTGCCAGCACATGAGTGGTAAAGGCCGAAATTCCGGCTTCGACACTTGCCTCTCGGGAATCCCAGGTTACGGGAAAGGGGGGATGGGTGTACTAGGGGGTGGGGGGGGGTATGGTACTCGGTACAGGGTAAAACCCGTTACGGGAATCGGGAACCCTGACGCATCAGTGTGCCTTACACAAAAACTCTGGCACATCAGGGTAAACCTATCACCCTAAAAAATTACCATGGTATGTAAGCAACACCATAGGATGTCAAAATCTAGTAGCAGGAATGATTGAACTATGAAAGAGTTGGGTACAAGTATGAAACCCTAAAAGGGGCTGTACCCCATATTGGCTACCCCACTACAGCCTACACATATATAGCATGCATATACTTTGACATAGGATTAGAAACGAAACATGTTAAAAGCAATCGAAAATAGCTAGCTAAAATCCGGGTGCTCTTCACCTGGCAGAGGAGCAAACCCATCCTTGATCCCTTGCAAGATCCCAGAAACCTCCCCCAAGTCAACCTGAACCTGGCTCTCGAAGTCCCCCTTGCCAAACGTCAGATAATACCGGAGCTCGCATGCGTACGCCAGGTGGTGATAGCACGCGTTCTCGTACTTATCGGGGCGAATCTCGAGCACTGTAGCGTTGGCTGGCATGAAGACCATGTTGGCCATGGCTGCCCCGTGACCCGCCACAAAGAGGCGAGCCCGCCTAAAGAGTTTTTGTGCTGAAAGAAGGAAGGAGAGGTGGGGAGAAGAGAAGGAATGGTGTGGAGAGGGGTGTAGGATGCGAGGAGTCAAGTTGGCTGGCATGAAGACCATGTTGGCCATGGCTGCCCCGTGACCCGCCACAAACAGGTGCGGCCTTCGAAAGAAATTCCATGCTGGAAGAAAGGGGGGTAAGGTGGGAGAAGAGGAGTGGCGCAGAGAGAGGTGTAGGATGTGAGGGAGGGAGGGGGCTGGCATGAAGACCATGTTGGCAATGGCTGCCCCGTGGGCTGCTACAAAAAGACGGGCATTTCGGAACGATTGCGTACACACACTCGCCCTAAAGGATGGGAATCGACCCGTGAAACACTTGCACGCGCGTGTGGCCGAACCATTTCACTATTGACTCTAGTCGCAACCTTTATACAGAGCCCCCCTTGCTTCTGGGCGGCACACACTCACACTCACCGGAAAGGATGGGAATCGACCCGTCAAACACTTGCACGCGCGTGTGGCCAAATATCCTCTTTATAGACTCCAGCAGTGCATCAAACTTGTCCAGCGCCCTCTTGGTGCCCGGGCGGCGGGCGACCACGACGAGCCAATCAGGGGGGATCACGGAGGCATTGGCGGAATTGAGGGTGCTGACGTGGCGCACGTCCCATTGGTTGTTGCGGAACACCGGGAGGCCTTTGGGCGGCAAGAGGAAGCGGTGGCGAATGTCCGTCCAAATGGACGGGCTGGCCTTGCCACATGCTTGGTACAGCGGCTGGGCGGGGAAGTTTGGAATGAAGTGGGGAAAGAAAAGAAGTTGGGTTCGACTCAAATAGGCACTGGATTGTCTCAATAATCCTCTTCTAAGGGCAACACTGGATATTCGACACCACTCCTGACAATAATATTACAGACTCACTCACCACAAACCACCACCTCTCACCACACATCGTCACCACTCACCACAAACCACCACCACTCACCACACATCTTCACCACCCTCACCACACATCACCGCCACTCACCACACATAGCCACCACTCACCACACATAGCCACCACTCACCACACATCACCACCACTCACCACAAATTACCACCGCTCACCACACAGCGCCACCACTCACCACATAGACCTCCTCTGCAAAGTAAATATCTCTATCCCTGACCACACATCGTCACCACTCACCACACATCACCACCACACATCACCACCACACATCACCACCACTCACCACATAGACCTCCTCCGCAAAGTAAATCTCTCCATCGCTAATGTTCAGAACGGCAGACTTTGAAAGATCATTGCCCAATAGCGGCTGTGCGACGTGCTGGTAAAAGTCCCACTGCAGAGTGGTTACGAGGAGGAGAGGGTGGGCAGGGAGGGTGGGCAGGAAGGAGTGGGCAGGAAGGAGAGGGTTGTTGGTTGGGAGAAGAGCAATCTTCGAAAGGTCCTTGCCCAGCAGCGGCTGAGCCACGTTGGAAGCGATCAAGGGTAAAAGAGCCACTGCAGGGTGATCAAGGGAGGAAGAGGGCATAGAGGAGCGGTTGGTTGGGGGGGGGAAGGGAGGATGGTTGGCTGCGGAAGGGGCCTTGGAAGGTCCTTGCCCAGCAGCGTGTGATCAGATCAGACGATTTTTGAGTCGACTCAAAAATCGTCTCATCACAAGAGGGCGAAGAGGAGGGGTTGGCTGAGGGGGGGGGGAAGGGAGGATGGCTGGCTGAGGAAGGGACCTTGAAAGGTCCTTGCCCAGCAGCGGCTGTGCCACGTGCTGGTAAAAGTCCCTCTGCCGAGCAGTGGACGCAATTTTTCAGAATTATAATGACTCCCAGCATAGATGGCAGAGACGTGGTTGGTTGGGGTGAGGGAGGCAGGGAGTGGAAGCTGGTTGATCGCGATGAGAGAGGGAGGGAGGGAAGGGGGTTTCTGTCCCAGCAGCACGGAAAGCGTGGCATAACTTTTGAGGAGCCTCAAAGATGGTGATGAGAGAGGGAGGGAGGGAAGGGGGGTTCCCAGCAGCAGCTATGCAACACGGGAAGTGTGGCAGAATAGAAAGTGGAAGCGAGTAGACTTTCGAGTCGACTCAAAAGTTATCTTCCCCAGCAGCGGTTGTGCAACACAGGAAGTGTGGCAGAATAGAAAGCAGAGGCGAGTAGGAATCATGCCTGTGAGGGAGACATCATGCCTTGCCTTCCGCACCCACTACTCACCTGGCCAGCGTGAGCGAGCAGCGGGAGCGTGGGGGCGGTGTGGAGCGTGGAGGCGAGGAGGAGGAGCTGTGGCGTCCACTACCCACCACATTCGCCCATACACTGCACCTAACTTTGCTTGGCCCACTGACCTGGCCAGCATGTGCGAGCAAGGGAAGCGTGGGGGCGGTGTGGAGCGTGGAGGCGAGGAGGAGGAGCTGGGGCGTCCATTCGATGAGCCCGTGATAGAAGGAGGAGGCCTGCCGGTACACGAGGTTCACCACCCTCTTCATCCTCTTTATCTTCGTTCCTTTCTTGTACCCAAACTGCGGGCAGGCACAGCGGGAGAAGCGGGAAGACAGAATACCAATTCACTAGCCGAGCCGCCGCATTAAAGACGCATGAAAGACGGGAGACAAGGCGGAGTCAGAAACACAGGAGAAGGAGGTTCCTACCAGACCATTGTTCAAGAACAGGGACGAAAAGAAGGGAGGGGGATGGGGGGCTGGACTTGAAGCACTTCACATGTGGAACAGGAGGCCTACGGTTCCTCCCTGCATTTTCTATTGACTGCGTTTCATGTGAATTCACTGCACCTCCTCACCGCATCCCACCGCACCGCACCTCGCTGTCCCAGTTGCAGCCCTCGCGGTGGAAGTGCGTCGTCTTGTTGAACATGAGCCCCTCGTCGTTGATGTACACGTTGCGCAGCTTGTACACCTGGTGGGAGGGGTGGTGCAGGGTGGAGTGCGGTGGAGCACGGTTCAGTGTGGTGCAGCACGGTGCAGTGTGGTGGAAGAGGTGACTTTGTAAAAGTGCGTTGTCTTGTTGAACATGGGCCCCTCGTCGTTGATGTACACGTTCCGCAGCTTGTACACCTGGTAGGGGTGGTGCAGCGCGGTGCAGCAGGGTACAGCAGGGTGCAGTGCGGTACGGCAGGGTACGGCAGGATGCAGCCGCAGAGATTGAGAAAGAGGTAACTTCTGAGTTGTCCCTTGCAGTTGATGTACACGTTCCGCAGCTAGTACACCTGGTAGGGGTGGTGCAGCGCGGTGCAGCAGGGTACAGCAGGGTGCAGTGCGGTACGGCAGGGTACGGCAGGATGCAGCCGCAGAGATTGAGAAAGAGGTAACTTCTGAGTTGTCCCTTGCAGTTGATGTACACGTTCCGCAGCTTGTACACCTGGTGGTGGTGGTGTATGGTGCAGTGCGGTGCAGAAAGGAGGAACCAACGCGGGGAAAGATCATCAACACGTCTCAAATCTTGAGATTACCATCCCATCCCACCATGTGCATCTGAATATGCACGGAGCCGTGAAGACTATCACTAGCTGGATTCAACAAAACAAAATCAAGTTTCGAGAAGTCTCGAAACACAAAACCGAATCAAGAAAGGGAATTGGCACAACCGCCTGACACCACCGCCTGACACCACCGCCTGACACCACCGCCTGACACCACCGCCTGACACCACCGCCTGACACCACCGCCTGACACAAGACGCACCTGGAAGATCTGCCACTCGAACCAGAAAGAGATAAGGGAACCGGCACCGCCTCACATCACGTAACACCACCTGTTACCACCACCTCCCACAATACACACCTGGAAAAACTGCCACTCGAACCAGAAGAAATCAGCTACATGGGTGCAGCTCTCATTCCTCCCCTCGGGCCCCATGTGCGATCGGTCCTCCTTCCTGCAGTTCACCGGTACAGGCGGCTTTGGAAACCCCTCGTCCCTCCTCCCATCTATCCTCCCCTCACCACCACTTTCTGAGTCTCATTTTCAACAGGGGGACTGGGGGCTCAGAACCACCTGACACCACCCCCCACCACTTAGCACCACCTGATACAACCACCTCCCACACTACACACCTGGAAGATCTGCCACTCGAACCAGAAGAAATCAGCAGCATGGGTGCAGCTCTCATTCCTCCCCTCGGGCCCCATGTGCGATCGGTCCACCTTCGGGCAGTTCACCGGCACGGGCGGCTTTGGAAACTCCTCGTCCCTCCATCCTGCAGCTGGCGTGCAAGCAGACGCATCCGGCCGTACGTTGCAGCTGCCCGAGAAATCCGGGCAGGAGTTGCCCGGGCACTCGAGGGAAAGCATGTTCGGGGAGTGGGTCGAGCCCATGTTCAGGTGCAGATTGTCCATTTCTGCCCTGATAAAATCTTCGCTCAACGTCCCTTCCTTGACTGAACCCTCATCTATAGGAGTGACAAACCCCATCTCTCTCGCGTTCTTCCCTCCTCCCTCCGCCAATCTCTCCACCCACTCCCTCCCCTCTTCCAACAGCGGATCCTCCTCCTGCTCCCGAACCCTCTTCATCGTGTAATCCGAGATATTCTTCAGCACGGGCAGCACGTCGGGCAGGTGAAACTCGAGCGGGGTGTCCTTGGTACCGTTCCCGAAAACCAAAAAGTATTTTTGCTGGGAAGCAGAAGCTAAGTGGTGGTAGCAGGCGTTGAGGTATTCCCGAGGGCGGATCTCAAGCACACAGGAGGCGGAGGGCATGAAGACCAGGTTCGCCATGGCTGCTCCGTGTGATGCGATGTACACCGCTGCTCTGTTGAAGAGTGCCCGCGCTGGGGGAGGGAGGAAAGGGGGAACGACAGTGGGGGAAGGAAAGAGGGACAGAGGGCATGAAGACCAGGTTGGCCATGGCTGCTCCGTGTGATGCTATGTAGACTGCTGCCCGGTTAAAGAGTGCCCTGGCTGAGGAGGGAGGAGGGACAGGCAGGTAGGCAGACACAAAGACGACTTTTGAGGTGCCTCAAAAGTCGGCCTCATGAGGCGCCTCAAAAGGAGGGGCAGGCAGGCAGACACAAAGATTGTTTGAGGCCTGGGTGGGTGGTGTGGTGGTAGCAACCTAGATGGCTGCTCCCTGCGATGCGATGTACACCGCTGCCCGGTTGAACAGCGCCGTGGCTGGGAAGGGAAGAGGGGGGGAAAGAGGGACAGGACGGGGGAAGGGACAGAGTCGCCATGGCTGCTCCGTGTGATGCGATGTACACCGCTGCCCGGTTGAACAGCGCCCTGGCTGGGGTGCGGGCACGGTTTCAGGGGGAGGAAATACGGACGGAAGGGGGGGAGGAGCCGGTTGGCCATGGCTGCTCCGTGCGATGCGATGTAGACTGCCGCCCCCGGTTGAACAGCGCCCTGGCTGGGAGAGGGACGAAGGGGGGGAAAGACAGAGGGGGAAGAAAAGAGGGACAGGGGAGAATTCTGAAAAGTTATTTCAACATAGGTGGTGGTAGCCAGCGTTGGGATAGACTCGGGGCGGATCTCGAGCAACACCACCACCCTGTCCTTCCCAAAAATCCCTTCCACTGCTTCCAGCAGCCCTTCAAACCCCACCATCTTCCTAGTGTTGCCCGGCCGCCTCGCCACCACCACCACCCAGTCTGCTGGTAACACAGCAGACCACGCATCTACACCCCACTGGACCGCACTGGACAGTACATCATACGTACCTTCCAGGATGGGTATAGAGCCGTTAAAGCTCCAGTATACATTTGTCAGTGAGGTTCAGGGTTTTACATTGTGCCTCACTGTTTTGGGGCAACTTTTCAAGTTCCTAAGGATTTTGAACCCTACTTTCAAATGTATACCGGAGCTTTAAACACCACCACCCTCTCCTTCCCAAAAATCCCCTCCACCTCTCCCAGCAGCCCCTCGAACCCCACCATCTAGACCACACTGGACCGTACATTGATCCTGCATAATCCATGTGCTCCGCTCCCCAGCAACAACCAACCTTCCAGGATGGGAAGAGACCTCTTGATATACCTCAACGGACAAACAACCCCGCCCCTGCCTGGGGCAGAAAAAAACTAAACCCCATAGGAAATGAAATGCAACCATGGGAGGCATCAACCCTAAACACCTAGTCGCGTGGTGTTTAGGGTCGATGCCTCCTTCGGATGCATGCCATCCGAGGGGGTACTTTTGAGAATTCTAGTCTTTTGAGAAAGTACCATCAACGGATGCATGCCATCCGAGGGGGTACTTTTGAGAATTCTAGTCTTTTGAGAAAGTACCATCAACGGATGCATGCCATCCGAGGGGGTACTTTTGAGAATTCTAGTCTTTTGAGAAAGTACCATCAACGGATGCATGCCATCCGAGGGGGTACTTTTGAGAATTCTAGTCTTTTGAGAAAGTACCATCAACGGATGCATGCCATCCGAGGGGGTACTCTTGAGAATTCTAGTCTTTTGAGAAAGTACCATCAACGGATGCATGCCATCCGAGGGGGTACTTTTGAGAATTCTAGTCTTTTGAGAAAGTACCATCAACGGATGCATGCCATCCGAGGGGGTACTTTTGAGAATTCTAGACTTCTGAGAAAGTACCATCAACGGATGCATGCCATCCGAGGGGGTACTTTTGAGAATTCTAGTCTTTTGAGAAAGTACCATCAACGGATGCATGCCATCCGAGGGGGTACTTTTGAGAATTCTAGTCTTTTGAGAAAGTACCATCAACGGATGCATGCCATCCGAGGGGGTACTCTTGAGAATTCTAGTCTTTTGAGAAAGTACCATCAACAGATGCATGCCATCCGAGGGGGTACTTTTGAGAATTCTAGTCTTTTGAGAAAGTACCATCAACGGATGCATGCCATCCGAGGGGGTACTTTTGAGAATTCTAGTCTTTTGAGAAAGTACCATCAACGGATGCATGCCATCCGAGGGGGTACTTTTGAGAATTCTAGTCTTTTGAGAAAGTACCATCAACGGATGCATGCCATCCGAGGGGGTACTTTTGAGAATTCTAGTCTTTTGAGAAAGTACCATCAACGGATGCATGCCATCCGAGGGGGTACTCTTGAGAATTCTAGTCTTTTGAGAAAGTACCATCAACGGATGCATGCCATCCGAGGGGGTACTCTTGAGAATTCTAGTCTTTTGAGAAAGTACCATCAACGGATGCATGCCATCCGAGGGGGTACTCTTGAGAATTCTAGTCTTTTGAGAAAGTACCATCAACGGATGCATGCCATCCGAGGGGGTACTTTTGAGAATTCTAGTCTTTTGAGAAAGTACCATCAACGGATGCATGCCATCCGAGGGGGTACTTTTGAGAATTCTAGTCTTTTGAGAAAGTACCATCAACGGATGCATGCCATCCGAGGGGGTACTTTTGAGAATTCTAGTCTTTTGAGAAAGTACCATCAACGGATGCATGCCATCCGAGGGGGTAATTTTGAGAATTCTAGTCTTTTGAGAAAGTACCATCAACGGATGCATGCCATCCGAGGGGGTACTTTTGAGAATTCTAGTCTTTTGAGAAAGTACCATCAACGGATGCATGCCATCCGAGGGGGTACTTTTGAGAATTCTAGTATTTTGAGAAAGTACCATCAACGGATGCATGCCATCCGAGGGGGTACTTTTGAGAATTCTAGTCTTTTGAGAAAGTACCATCAACGGATGCATGGCATCCGAGGGGGTACTCTTGAGAATCCTAGTCTTTTGAGAAAGTACCATCAACGGATGCATGCCATCCGAGGGGGTACTTTTGAGAATTCTAGTCTTTTGAGAAAGTACCATCAACGGATGCATGCCATCCGAGGGGGTACTTTTGAGAATTCTAGTCTTTTGAGAAAGTACCATCAACGGATGCATGCCATCCGAGGGGGTACTTTTGAGAATTCTAGTATTTTGAGAAAGTACCATCAACGGATGCATGCCATCCGAGGGGGTACTTTTGAGAATTCTAGTCTTTTGAGAAAGTACCATCAACGGATGCATGCCATCCGAGGGGGTACTTTTGAGAATTCTAGTCTTTTGAGAAAGTACCATCAACGGATGCATGCCATCCGAGGGGGTACTCTTGAGAATTCTAGTCTTTTGAGAAAGTACCATCAACGGATGCATGCCATCCGAGGGGGTACTTTTGAGAATTCTAGTCTTTTGAGAAAGTACCATCAACGGATGCATGCCATCCGAGGGGGTACTTTTGAGAATTCTAGTCTTTTGAGAAAGTACCATCAACGGATGCATGCCATCCGAGGGGGTAATTTTGAGAATTCTAGTCTTTTGAGAAAGTACCATCAACGGATGCATGCCATCCGAGGGGGTACTTTTGAGAATTCTAGTCTTTTGAGAAAGTACCATCAACGGATGCATGCCATCCGAGGGGGTACTTTTGAGAATTCTAGTCTTTTGAGAAAGTACCATCAACGGATGCATGCCATCCGAGGGGGTACTTTTGAGAATTCTAGTCTTTTGAGAAAGTACCATCAACGGATGCATGCCATCCGAGGGGGTACTCTTGAGAATTCTAGTCTTTTGAGAAAGTACCATCAACGGATGCATGCCATCCGAGGGGGTACTCTTGAGAATTCTAGTCTTTTGAGAAAGTACCATCAACGGATGCATGCCATCCGAGGGGGTACTTTTGAGAATTCTAGTCTTTTGAGAAAGTACCATCAACGGATGCATGCCATCCGAGGGGGTACTTTTGAGAATTCTAGTCTTTTGAGAAAGTACCATCAACGGATGCATGCCATCCGAGGGGGTACTTTTGAGAATTCTAGTCTTTTGAGAAAGTACCATCAACGGATGCATGCCATCCGAGGGGGTACTTTTGAGAATTCTAGTCTTTTGAGAAAGTACCATCAACGGATGCATGCCATCCGAGGGGGTACTTTTGAGAATTCTAGTCTTTTGAGAAAGTACCATCAACGGATGCATGCCATCCGAGGGGGTACTTTTGAGAATTCTAGTCTTTTGAGAAAGTACCATCAACGGATGCATGCCATCCGAGGGGGTACTTTTGAGAATTCTAGTCTTTTGAGAAAGTACCATCAACGGATGCATGCCATCCGAGGGGGTACTTTTGAGAATTCTAGTCTTTTGAGAAAGTACCATCAACGGATGCATGCCATCCGAGGGGGTACTTTTGAGAATTCTAGTCTTTTGAGAAAGTACCATCAACGGATGCATGCCATCCGAGGGGGTACTTTTGAGAATTCTAGTCTTTTGAGAAAGTACCATCAACGGATGCATGCCATCCGAGGGGGTACTCTTGAGAATTCTAGTCTTTTGAGAAAGTACCATCAACGGATGCATGCCATCCGAGGGGGTACTTTTGAGAATTCTAGTCTTTTGAGAAAGTACCATCAACGGATGCATGCCATCCGAGGGGGTACTTTAAAGAATTCTAGTCTTTTGAGAAAGTACCATCAACGGATGCATGCCATCCGAGGGGGTACTTTTGAGAATTCTAGTCTTTTGAGAAAGTACCATCAACGGATGCATGCCATCCGAGGGGGTACTCTTGAGAATTCTAGTCTTTTGAGAAAGTACCATCAACGGATGCATGCCATCCGAGGGGGTACTCTTGAGAATTCTAGTCTTTTGAGAAAGTACCATCAACGGATGCATGCCATCCGAGGGGGTACTTTTGAGAATTCTAGTCTTTTGAGAAAGTACCATCAACGGATGCATGCCATCCGAGGGGGTACTTTTGAGAATTCTAGTCTTTTGAGAAAGTACCATCAACGGATGCATGCCATCCGAGGGGGTACTTTTGAGAATTCTAGTCTTTTGAGAAAGTACCATCAACGGATGCATGC